AGAGGGCTGGGTCCAGGCCTTCACCCACCTTGCTAGTTCCAAGGAGACTGAGGGTGAGAGGTGTCTGCAGGCATTTTATTCGGCAAGGGGAGGTGGGGTTCAGGCCCCTCTAGTGGCCCTGCCTTCTATTCTTGGAAGCCTTTCCTAAGTGGAGGTACCCAAACAGAGCAAGTATGCACAAGGTGTCAGAAAGTGCTTCAGAGAAGACTTCCCAACAGGCCAAGTTCCCTTAAGGATTCAAAGGAGATTTTAACTAGGGAGAAGTGTCTTCAGGGCTGAGGGCTCAGCAAGCTATGAGCCGAGAGGAGGCCAGTGAGCAGGTGATGAGACCCTGACCCCTTCTCCCCAGCTACCACATCGCCTTCGGGCCCGTGGTGGACGGTGACGTCGTCCCCGATGACCCTGAGATCCTCATGCAGCAGGGAGAATTCCTAAATTACGACATGCTCATCGGTGTCAACCAAGGAGAGGGCCTCAAGTTCGTGGAGGACTCAGCAGAGAGCGAGGACGGCGTGTCCGCCAGCGCCTTTGACTTCACAGTCTCCAACTTTGTGGACAACCTGTATGGCTACCCCGAGGGCAAGGATGTGCTGCGGGAGACCATCAAGTTTATGTACACAGACTGGGCCGACCGGGACAATGGTGAGATGCGCCGTAAGACCCTGCTGGCGCTCTTTACTGATCACCAGTGGGTGGCACCAGCCGTGGCCACCGCCAAGCTGCATGCCGACTACCAGTCCCCTGTCTACTTTTACACCTTCTACCACCACTGCCAGGCTGAGGGCCGGCCTGAGTGGGCAGATGCAGCGCACGGGGACGAGCTCCCCTACGTCTTTGGTGTGCCCATGGTGGGTGCCACCGACCTCTTCCCCTGCAATTTCTCTAAGAATGATGTCATGCTCAGCGCCGTGGTCATGACCTACTGGACCAACTTCGCCAAGACTGGGTGAGGGCCAGAGGGGCTGGGTGGGGCACCATGCAGGCCAAAGCGCACACACCTTCCACCTTCAGCTCCTCTCTTTCTCACTCCCTCACAAGGCCATCACCCCTACATTATGGCACTCTTGCCTTCTTGACTCAGACACCTGCTGGGGTACCCTCTCTGTGCCAGGCACTGAGTTATGTGTTGGAGATTCAGCAGTTAAACAGAGAGGTCCCTGTCCTTTCTGGGGGTGGGCTCACTTGGTGGCTTTGGCTCCATGTCTGTCTCTTCTTTGCTCCCTTGCCTAGTCACCCTCTCTCTTGTCCCAGTGCTCTGCCCTCTGACTACTCCCACCTGTGCATGAGTGTGTGTAAGCGTTTGTGTCTGTCTGTCTCTTTATTGCTCTCTGTATCTCTCATTCTTGAAAGCCATTGATATCTCTCCCTTTCCCTTTGATCTGTTTGCTTTTTGCTGCTGATTTCACGCTGGCTGTGTTTCATGTGTCTTTGTTTCTATATGTCTCTTTCTCACTCAGTCTCAGCCTCTGCCTCTCTCACTGGCTGTTTGTCTGTCTCTGCTTCTCCCTTCCCTCTGTCCTCATCTCTGGCTGTCTCTAGCAGTCTGTCTCCTTCCCTCTTTGTTTTTCTGTCCCCGTCTCTGGCAATTTCTCTGTCTCTTCTTATCCATTTTCTCTCTGTCTCTGCCTTTCTCTTTAACTCAGACTTTCCTTCTGTTCCTGGATCTCTGCATCTCTGTCTCCCTCCCCATTCTACCCCCACCTTCTCACACCTGTTGGAGCCTCACCCTCACTCCTCCTTTTCCTGCCCTCCTGTGCCCACAGCGACCCCAACCAGCCGGTGCCACAGGACACCAAGTTCATCCATACCAAGCCCAACCGCTTCGAGGAGGTGGTGTGGAGCAAGTTCAACAGCAAGGAGAAGCAGTACCTGCACATTGGCTTGAAGCCTCGTGTGCGTGACAACTATCGTGCCAACAAGGTGGCCTTCTGGCTAGAGCTTGTGCCCCACCTGCACAACCTGCACACGGAGATCTTTACCACCACCACGCGCCTGCCTCCCTACGCCACGCGCTGGCCACCTCGCCCGCCCCCCGGCGCCCCAGGCACACGCCGGCCCCCGCCACCTGCCACTCTGCCACCTGAGCCCGAGCCTGAGCCAGGCCCCAGGGCCTATGACCGCTTGCCCGGGGACTCCCGGGACTACTCCACAGAGCTGAGCGTCACTGTGGCTGTGGGTGCCTCCCTCCTCTTCCTCAACATCCTCGCCTTTGCTGCCCTCTACTACAAGCGGGACCGGCGGCAGGAGCTGCGGTGCAGGCGGCTCAGCCCCCCAGGTGGATCAGGCTCTGGTGTGCCTGGTGGGGGCCCCCTGCTACCTACCACTGGCCGAGAGCTGCCACCAGAAGAGGAGCTGGTGTCACTGCAGCTGAAACGGGGTGGTGGCGTTGGGGCGGACCCTGCTGAGGCCCTTCGCCCTGCCTGCCCACCCGACTACACCCTGGCCCTGCGCAGGGCACCGGACGATGTGCCTCTCTTGGCCCCTGGGGCCCTGACCCTGCTGCCCAGTGGCCTGGGACCACCACCTCCCCCACCGCCACCCTCCCTCCATCCATTTGGGCCCTTCCCTCCACCTCCCCCCACCGCTACCAGTCACAACAACACTCTACCCCACCCCCACTCCACTACCCGGGTATAGGGGAAGGCTTGGGGGGGCCCTCCTCCCCAGCCCTCCCACTGGCAGGAAGTGCCACTCGGAAGGCAGGGAGGGCGACTTGGCAACAGGCTTTTCTCGTCACACATCACACGTCACACGTGGAAGAACATTAGGAGGACATGGGTCTCCTCACCAAGATGCGTGTTTTCCCATGCATAGAGGCCCATTTTTTTTCTCTGGACCTGGGCCTTTGAACAACTCGGGGGTATTTTGTCCCCTCCATTGGGACACCAGTCTTCGGTGTGTGGAAGGATTTTCCCACGTGGAGGTGTGCTTTCTCACAAGGGGGTGCGTTTTCCCATGTGCAGGGTGAGGTTTTTTTCGCCGCCCTGGACACATGTTGGCCCCCTCAAAGAATTTCTGTGGGGATTTGTACCCCAGAACCATATCCCCTCATGCCTCTCCCACCTCCTCTCTCCCCTCCCCACCCCATGGAGACCCTGGAAGTGGTGTGTTCATGTACAGTGACCCTTGGCCACAAGACAACACAGGGTGGTTCTTGGGAAGTAGTAAGGAAATCACAGCTCCCCCATCCCCCTCCACTCTGGAGAAGCATGTCCCCCACCCTCCCCACCCCGTGGCACAAGTCAGGTGAAGCATGGTCTCCTGGGTAGGCCTCACCTTCCATAGACAACACACAGAATCCCTGCCAGGGGGTCAGGAGATCCATGCAGCCCTGTACTGCCTGGGAATTTGTGTTCCCACAGGTCCAGGGCACACTTCTCTGAGTGGAAACATGTTCTTGCATGTGGATGTGTGTTTTCCCATGCAGATGGTCCCTTTCTCTCCAGTATTTCCCTGCATCCCCCAGGCCTCAGGCCACCTAATTCTTCCTCACACGGCAGGTGGGAACAGACTTCTAACTGACAGAAGCTGAGGGGGATGTATCAACCCTGAGGGGAGACCTCTGCTCCTCCCTCCCCCAGAGATGCTGAGTTGGGGGTCAGGGGCGTGGGACCTGCCACCCATAGAGGCCATGCATGTTTGACCAAAGCCCTCATTGGGGTCTGAAGACAGCCTTTCCCTCAGTCCTCAGACCATTACTCATCTGTGCCAAACTGGGTAGGTGGGTTTGCCAAGGATTCCCCAGGCCTGGGCCAGAGCAGATAAATGTGGGAGCAGGTGGGATACAGGGGAAGGGGAGATGGCGGCTAAGGGGTCCTACCTGTGCCTCTTCTATCCTCACAATGTCTCATCCCTCCCTCTGTGCCTCAGTTTCCTTTTCCCATATCCCTTTCTTCCTCTCTGAAGCCATCCCTGTGTCTGTGTCAAACCAGCTTCTCCCTTCAGCTGCCCCTTCCCTTTCTTTGACCTGCCCCCTCTTCCCTCAGCTGCCAGGGCTGAAGGAAAGGAAAGGTGGTGGAGGGGAGGAAAGCAAGGGAGAAAATCTTCATGGTTGGGGAGAGAATGAGGTCAGCTATGCTGAGAAACAGATGGAGGGGGCAATGGGGGACAGGTCTTGACCAGACACCAGCCAGAAAAATTTCAAAGGACGTGTAAGGTGACTGCCCAGAGGGGACCTGAGGCTATAAGGAAAAGAACCTCATCAGGAAGGGTTTTAAGGGGCACCAGTGGAGGAGAGAATCCTTGTCTGCTGGCATTTTGTGGGTTAATGCCAAACTTGAGTAGGGGGCAGGGTGCTGTCTTCCACTGACACCCAGATCCAGAATCCCTGGTCTTGGCTCCCCAGAACTTTGCCTCTTGACTATCCCTTCTCCCACCTCCACCCATGGAAACTTCTTTTCCTACCCCTTCTCCTGCCTGGTCTAGTTCCTTTCCAAACAGCCATGCCCTCTAAATGCTAGGGCCCTGGGCCCTGAGCCCTATAGACAGATGTCCCACAAATTGGGACATGGGAGAGGGGCTAGGGGACCCCATGATTCAGCCACGGACTCCAATGCCCAATCCTCCCCAGAACAGTCCCCTGACAATCCCATGTCCCTACCCTTCGCAGCTCTGTACACATTTTTAAACCTGGCAAAAGATGAAGAGAATATTGTAAATATAAAGTTTAACTGTTGCTTGTGCCTGCTGTGATGTTAGGAGGTGGGGGCAGGGGGCTCCGAAGAAACAAGCCTTGGGGACGTGACTGCTGAGGGAGGTCTATACCCACAGCCCTTTTCAGTGAATAGCTCTGAGGTCTGAAAGAAAGGGGGAGTGGGTGCTGAGTAAGGTTGCCATGGTAATGGGGCTATTTAGAGAGTTAAGATTAGGACCTGCCCTGGCTGGGTGGCTCAGTTAGTTGGAGTGTCATCCCTACACCAAAAGGTTGTGGGTTCAATTCCTGGTCAGGGCACATACCCAGGTTGCAGATTCGATCCCTGGTCCAGGCGCGTACAGGAGGCAACCGATCAATGTTTCTCACATCAATCTTTCTCTCTCAACATATCCTCTGGCAAGGATTTAAAAAAAAGATTAGGACCCGTGTCTGTGCAGAGGACTGAGCCTGGTGTACAAAAGGACCAAGTGGGCTTATTGGGGCCAACACCAGGCAGGCTAGAGGGCCCAGCTGGTTCAGGTAGCCGGCTACAGGAGAGGCATGCAAGGTGAAGGGCTTGGCTTCTGCCAAGGTGTGGGCCCAGGCTGGAGGGTTAATCCTGGGCCCAGGACTCCCTCTTGGCACATTGTGAGGGAGAGCCCCAGCATCATTGTGACCCGCTTAACCCCAGGAGCCTCTGGGACAGGCAAGCTGGGTGCTGTGGCACAGTGCGTTGGGGGTCTAGGGGCCCCGGTGGCCCTAGGGACCCCCATGGCCATCGCTGAGCAGCCATGGCCCAGGTGCGCCTCGTATCATAGCCCCAACACCAACTGCCAGGACCTGGGCAACTCCATCCTGTTGCTGCTGGGCTTCATCATCTGCATTAACATTGGCATCAATATAGTTACGCTGGTCAGGGCAGGGCTGGGTGGGAGGGTGCTGGCAGGATGGCTGGGGGGCAGGCCTGGTGACCAGGGCCTACCTGGGGTCATTGTGAACTTCCCCCAGCTCTGGCGCAGACTCCAGGTCTTCTTAAAGCACACGTTCTACAGTATGGTTTGTGAGAAAGGTAAGGGGGACGGAGGAGGGGCAGATACCTGGTGTTCTAGCCCTTGACCCTAAGCTGGCCCTGTCCCCTCCCACTCTCCCCTCTCAGATACCATAGCTGTGCAGCTTCTCTCCCTGAACCCTGTTCCCCACCCCCATAGGAGCCAGCATCCCCTCAGCCTCTCCCCTCTCCCCTATCCACAGAAGATTCTAAGTCATCCTCACCTAGAAAGAAGACCCAGCCCCCAAAGCGGAACTCCCCTGCAGTCCACCTTCGATGCACCATGGACCCTGTGAAAATGACCTTGACCCCCCCACGCACTCGCCGCCAGCGCCATCGAGGCTCACCAGCATGCTGTGTCCACCACCCAACAGCCTGGACCCCTGACACTGATGATGAGAAGCTCCCTCATCAGCACCCGGCAGTGTGCTCCCACAACTGGGATCGAACCCCAGACTGGGAAGGCTTCCAATCCACTCGGGGGTTCTGGGCTCCCTGGTCCCAGGACACTGTGGAGCTGCCTTCCCAGACCATTCGCTTCCAGCAGACCATAGAGGGAAGACCCCTCAAAAGAGAGATGCGGTCAGAGCTGGGCCTAGAGGCCTATGTGTACCCTGTGAACCCCCCGCCCCCCAGCCCACAGGTCCAGAGCCACAGGAACTGTGGAAGGGGGGCTGGGGCTGAGGGGGAGCAGGAGAAATGCTCACCAGCCCCACCACCCATCAGGGGCCCAGCAGTTGTTCCAGATATCCCCCGGCGCCCCTCCTCACGCCGCCTAGTGTACGATGCCCTAGACGTGAGGCGGCGGCTGCGGGAGCTGACCCAGGAGGTGAAGGCTCTGTCCCACTGTTACCCCATGGGCTCCAGATCCAGCACTGCTGAGGGGATGAAGGACTGGGTATACCGTCCCCTGGCAGAGAGGTGACTGGGAGAAGAATTAAAAAAGAGAGAGAAGAGGTGGCTTGTGGTGGTTTGGGGGGAGGGTAGTGCTAGGGCCCAGGGAGGGTAGTGCTAGGGGCCCACGCAGCTCCTAGAAGCCCTGGTTGCTAAGGGAATGATTTCCTTGGGAACAGGGCCTAGAGAGCCCTGAGGACCCTCATCAACCTCTTGGCCTTAACCTCACTATCAACCCTGTCCTCAGACCTTTTTCAGGCCCTTCTTGGTTCTAAGTTTCCCAACTGCCTCTACCCCATTTTCTTTAGTGCCCAGGGAAGGCCCTCGGCCAACCCCACCCCAGATTCACAGGCAGTCCCACACTAGAAGGGAGACCGTCATCCCCGTGGCCCTAGGCCCTCAGTGGTCTGGTTCCTGCCAGAGGCCAGGCTTAGGCTGGAGCTACAGGTGAGGTATGGTTCCCTCTCAACCCCGTTTCTTCGGGGAGGAACGAATGAGAGTAAAGGTGGCCAGGTCCGCACAGTTCCCCAGTCAGAACCTTAAGTTCCTGCACCCTTACGCAGGCTTGGAGTAAAGGGTCAAATATTGGGGACACTCACAAGGGCTGCCTCACCGTAACGTCGCAGACTTCTGTGACCTCACTCTTCTGATTCATATCTCCACGTCACAAGTGAGGAGATGGAAGCTCAGAGAGGCCAAGTGACTTACGGGTCACACAGACATTACGGATCAACTTCAGGGCCTCAGGCGCTTCAGCCTTTGCTTCTGCAGGTATATTCTCATTGCCACTGAGTCAGCCTCGCCCATCAGAGTCTTCCACCTTCTTTAGTTTGCCTTGTAAACTCAACAGAATATTCCATCCACTGTAGAGCAGCTGGGATCACACACATGCACACACACACACACACACACACGTGTACACAACTTGGGAACAAGCAGCCATGTGAATGCACCCAGGCTGAAGCGGCTGGGCCTCACCTTCATACCAGATGGGCTCTTGGAATGGGAGCAGACAGGCCTTTTGTGAATCGCCCTGTGTCTCTGTTCATTTTCATTCAGTTAACGTCATTGATAGTTTTAAGCTGATTCCATTCAGTGGGTATGTACTGAGCACCTACTACTATGTGTTTGGAGCCTTGATGGAAAATACCCATTGGCTATTCCTCTATTTCTGCTGAGTTGTTTATTGTGCAAACAAATGACTTGTGGTCCCCAGGGCACCCCTTTCATAGACCCCAGTGATAAACCTGGTTTAAATAAAAAACTCCTTTGTTATATCAACAATTATATCTATTTTGTGCTTTGTGAATTTCATGTGGTTTTCTTAAGGTGGCAGCTAACAGTTTTTCAACTTGAAGGGGTGGCTCAGTGGGAGAACAGTTGGTTAAGGAGAGAAGCCATGGTTGGAGGTGATCCCTGGCAGAGGCAGCAACCCTAGCAAGGTAGAAAGCAGTCTTGCTCTGAGGCAAAGGGGCTAATGGGCTCAGTGACCACCAACACCTAGGGCTGGCCAGGAAGGGATGGGTAGGGTGGTGCTAGAGGTATGATGGGGAAATGGGCAGTGCAGAGAGGGAATCTACAGGGAGGTAACTTCAGAGGGGACTCTTGCTGTCACCCATCTATCTAGTCACCCTAGATGCTAGCCCCAAGTAGGTGTGGGTGGGAAATACCAACAGGCTACATAAGCTGCCATAATGTCTCAAAAGAACAATGAAATACAGGAAATCCTTTATGCATGAGTCAATCTCTATGAAGGTTGTCTCACTACTGTAGCTACCATATTTTCAAATCAGAAATCAGGTGTGAAGCTCCCATGGAGACGAACAGACTGAACTCTGGGATATCTGGGGACTGAGCTAAGGGCAGAAATAGCCATAGACAGGGCCAGCTGAGTGGGATAAAAGGGCTGTTACCTCTGCATTGTGACTCCTGCCAATGTGCCTCATTATGACCCGGCTCCCTCACCAGTTGGTCAGTGTCCCCAGGTCCTGGCATGAGTGCAGTGTGGGTCGGGGCCGGTGGGGGGGTGCGGCCCAGGTGGCCCTAGGACCCCCCCCCCCCATGGAAAACAAGCTATGGCATAACACCCTGGGGTCCTGCAATCAATACCAAGAAAGTCCCCAGGGTGCTGAAGACTTTCTACTCCTGCTGCTGGGCCTCATCATTCTTGTCAACATTGGGATCAATCTGGCAACTGTGGTCAGTGATCACTGTGGACCATCCCTAAGGGTGAAGAGGGCTGAGGGTGGGAGCCAGCTTCAGCCTGTACCTCCACCTGCAAGAGCAATCTTGTCTGGGAGGGGTGTGGGGGTTGGGGGTGGAAAGCTTAGTCTTCACTACCACCCCACCCCACCTCCAGATGTGGTATGAGCTCCAGAGTGCCTTAGACAAGATGATCAATTGGATTAAACAAAAAAGTAAGTATGGCAGCTAGAGAGGAAGGAGACACCCCCACACCCCTGCTACCACCACAGCCCTAGAAAGACAGGCCCCAGTGTTCCCAACTGACAATTGCCCTGCCCTCATGGACGCTTGAATCCCCCAGATGAAATCTTGCAGGTTTGTGAAAGTTTTCCCAAAGTTGCCCCAGCCAAGGCCCAAGATGTCCACATCCACTGCACCCTGGACCCTGTAGAAGTGAAGATGGCCCGCCCCACTTGCTACTCCAATTCCTATCACCATCTCCGCAACCGCAACCGCAACCGCAACCGCAACTTCAACTGCAGCCGCCGCCGCCCACACCACAACCACCACTGCCGCTCCCCTTGCAGCCACCAGCAGAGCCCAAAGAACTACAGACAATTCCCCAACAATTGCTCAGTCTTCCATAGCCCACATCAGAGCCACAAGACGTCAGAGCTGAGGCCAATACCCTCTTTTGATCAGGAGGACCCGGACTCCTCTCTGGAGGAGAGGGATGACCTATCCTTCCCACGTCCCAAGTACCCACAGTGGGGCTGGGGAGGGCTCTACCATAGAAAGGGGCTGCCCTGCAATGTGGGGCTGTGGGGCCGCCAGGGTGGGGTCCTGGCTAGCTTGCCACCACCCTCTCTCTACCTGTCGTCCGAGCTGCGCCACATGCCCAAGCGTGTGGAGGCCAAGTCAGAGCTGAGACTGCAGTCCCATGGGCTCCGCTGCTCACAGTCCCATACCTGGGGCAATAAGGAGGCTGAGCAGTGGGCCTTGTCCCCGCCACATCCCCACCGGCTGCCTCTTAACCCTTCCTGGGTCCCTGGGCACAGCCCTTACCAGTCAAGGGGCCAGCTAATGTATGACTCCTGGGATCGGCGGCGTGGCCTGGAGGGCTCTGAGCTTCCGTCTGCCCTGGTGTCCCGGGGCTCCCGGCCTGAGGCCCAGGAACGCTACTCCCCACAGTACTACCGGCGGAGCCTCCCTGGCCATGCTTACAGCCACCCCAACCGCAGCCCCCACCCCTCCGCAGGATACCTGAGCTACTCCAGGGATCCCCATGAGATACGGCGCCAGGCGGCTGAATGGGCTGAGGCGCTGCCCACTCAGCAACCTCTGACATCCACCTCCCTCACTGTGTTGGGCGAGGTCTCATACCAACGGACCCTGGCCCCCAACTCAGCCCTGCTCCCCCACTCCTCCCAGCCCCCACATGAAGTCCAGA